TCATCAGGAGGAGAAGGGCAGCCATCAGGTGCCCTACTTTCTCTGCCTGGCAGGGCATGGACGTGTGCACTCCCAGCCTGCTGGAGGGAGGGATCTAAAAAGCGAGAGGCTACGGGTGGCCCCTGAGGGGGTCTTCACTTGAGGTCAGCCAAAAAGAACTGCCCTCTGCAGGAAACTGGTCATTGCCGAGGTCCACACACAGCCGCCAAGGGGACAGTAATCAGGCCCACTGGGACAGTCAGGGTGTGAGCGCCTGCTGCATACAGGCACCCTCAGTGTTGACCCTTTTCCTCTAATTCTTCTAATCTCCCTTCTGACATCAGAAGAACCAGAAAGGGAAGGAAGTGGAGGAAAAAAGGGAAAGAGCAGGCCACGCCCCTTCTCCACCGCAGGACCCCACGCCAGGGAGCAGGCCACGCCCCTTCTCCACCGCAGGACCCCACGCCAGGGAGCAGGCCACGCCCCTTCTCCACCGCAGGACCCCCACGCCAGGGAGCAGGCCACGCCCCTTCTCCACCGCAGGACCCCACGCCAGGAAGCAGGCCACGCCCCTTCTCCACCGCAGGACCCCACGCCAGGGAGCAGGCCACGCCCCTTCTCCACCGCAGGACCCCCACGCCAGGGAGCAGGCCACGCCCCTTCTCCACCGCAGGACCCCACGCCAGGGAGCAGGCCATGCCCCTTCTCCACCGCAGTACCCCACGCCAGGGAGCAGGCCACGCCCCTTCTCCACCGCAGGACCCCATGCCAGGGAGCAGGCCACATCCCTTCTCCACCGCAGGACCCCATGCCACGGAGCAGGACATGTCCCTTCTCCACCGCAGGACCCCACGCCAGGGAGCAAGACGCACACCTTCTCCACTGCAGGACCCCATGCCAGGGAGCAGGACACGTCCCTTCTCCACTGCAGGACCCCATGCTAGGGAGCAGGACGCGTCTCTTCTCCACTGCAGGATCCCATACCAGGGAGCAAGACACACCCCTTCTCCACCGTAGGACCCCATGCCAGGGAGCAAGACACACCTCTTCTCCACTGCAGGACCCCCTTCTCCACTTCAGGACCCCGTGCCAGGGAACAGGCCACGCCCCTTCTCCACCACAGAACCCCATGCCAGGGAGCAAGACACACCCCTTCTCCACCACAGGACCCCGTGCCAGGGAACAGGCCACGCCCCTTCTCCACCACAGGACCCCATGCCAGGGAGCAAGACACATCCCTTCTCCACCACAGGATCCCATGCCCAGGAGCAGGCCACGCCCCTTCTCCACCACAGGACCCCATGCCAGGGAGCAGGCCACGCCCCTTCTCCACCACAGGATCCCATGCCAGGAGCAGGCCACGCCCCTTCTCCACCACAGGATCCCATGCCCAGGAGCAGGCCTGAGCTGGGGGCTAAGGGGAGGGGAGGGCAAGATGAGGAGGGAAGATGCTTGCAGATGGATGTGAGGTTGAAAGTGTGATGTAGGCCGGACGCGGTGGCTCAAGCCTGTAATCCCAGCACTTTGGTAGGCCGAGGCGGGTGGATCACGAGGTCGAGAGATCGAGACCATCCTGGTCAACATGGTGAAACCCCGTCTCTACCAAAAATACAAAAAAAAATTAGCTGGGCATGGTGGCACGTGCCTGTAATCCCAGCTACTCAGGAGGCTGAGGCAGGAGAATTGCCTGAACCCAGGAGGCGGAGGTTGCGGTGAGCCGAGATCGCGCCATTGCACTCCAGCCTGGGTAACAAGAGCGAAACTCTGTCTCAAAAAAAACAAAAAAAAAAAAAACAAAAAAAAAAAACAAAAGTGTGCTGTAGAGTGGACTGGACCTCTTAACTCCTAAACGTAAGTCTTAATTACTGAAGTAGGGATAGGTCTTCTAAAGAAATATAACCAGAAATCTAAGGGTCTGTGCAAAAGGTTATCAATGAAAAAAAAAAATGTTTGAATGCAGTGGGTCAGAGAAAAGCAGTCTTCTGTTGGTATCCAGCAGGATGAATTCAATAAACAGGCGATGAAATGCTAATTCCATTTCCCTTGACTGGGATAGGTTCCGGAAAGGGCATGTGTTGCACGCAGTTCTGACCGGCGATGTGAGGAAGTCTACTGTGGGGATTACAGGCAAGTTTCCCTTGTTCCTTAAAAGGGACATGAGGAAAGGATGTTTCTTCCTCTTTTCTTTTCTTTTTTGAGACAGAGTCTCACTGCGTCACCCAGGACATTTTCCTTTTCCCCTGGCCTGCAATCACACAGCCTAAGACAATGAAGTTGGGCCTGGGATTGAACTTATTCTTTTTTTTTTTTTTTTTTTTTTTTTTGAGACAGAGTCTTGCTCTTGTCACCCAGGCTCTGGAGTGCAGTGGTGCGATCTCCACTCACTGCAACCTCTGCCTCCTGGGTTCAAGCGATCCTCCTGCCTCAGCCTCCCAAGAAGCTGGGACTACAGGCGTGCACCACCATGCCTGACTAAGTTTTGTATTTTTAGTGGAGACAGGATTTCACCATGTTGGCCAGGCTGGTCTTGAACTTCTGACCGCAAGTGATCTGCCCGCCTCGGCCTCCCAAAGTGCTGGGATTACAGGCATGAGCCATAGTGCCTGGCCTGTTTCTTCCTCTTTTTTTCTGAGCTTTGACACTGTTCTATGAAGATGTGATGTCGGAGTTGCTACAGCTATCTTGTGACCTGAAGAGGAGTGGTCAATAGGCTGAAGATGGCAGAGAAAAGGCGGAAGGAACCTGAGTCCCTCTTGAGGCTACTGAGCTGTTAAAATCCTGAGCCCGGTAGCCCACACCTGTAATCCCAGCACTTTGGGAGGCTGAGGTGGGCAGATCACCTGAAGTCAGGAGTTCAAAATCAGCCTGGCCAACAAAGTAAAACCCCGTCTCTACTAAAAATTAAAAAATTAGCTGGTTACGGTGGCAGATGCCTGTAACCTCAGGTACTCGCAAGGCTGAGGCAGGATAATCATTTGAGCCCAGGAGGTAGAGGTTACAGTGAGCCCAGATCATGCCACTGCCTGGGAGACAGAGTGAGCCTCTGTCTCAAAAAAAAAAAAAAAAAAAAGCCTGGGCGCGGTGGCTCATGCCTGTAATCCCAGCACCTTGGGAGGCCGAGGTGGGTGGATCACCTGAGGTCAGGAGTTCGAGACCTGCCTGGTCAATGTACTGAAACCTCGTTTCTACTAAAATTACAAAAATTAGCTGGGTGTGGTGGTGGGCACCTGTAATTTCAACCGCTTGGGAGGCTGAGGCAGAAGAATGACTTGAACTCGGGAGGTGGAGGTTGCAGTGAGCTGAGGTCAAGCCACTGCACTCCAGCCTGGCGACAGAATAAGACTCCATCTCAGGCCGGGCGCGGTGGCTCATGCCTATAATCCCAGAACTTTGGGAGGCTGAGACGGGTGGATCACGAGGTCAAGAGGTCGAGACCATCCTGGTCAACATGGTGAAACCCCGTCTCTACTAAAAATACAAAAAATTAGCTGGGCATGGTGGGGCGTGCCTGTAATCCCAGCTACTTGGGAGGCTGAGGCAGGAGAATTGCCTGAACCCAGGAGGCAGAGGTTGCGGTGAGCCGAGATCACGCCATTGCACTCCGGCCTGGGTAACAAGAGCGAAACTCAGTCTCAAAAAAAAAAAAAAAAAAAGACTCCATCTCAAAACAAAAGGGCTGGGTGCTTATTATTCTTGTTCACTGCTAAATCCTCAGCAGATTCTCAATAAGTGCTGGATGGATGAAAGAATGAATGAATTAATGAATGAATTGAATTTCTTAGGAGGATCAGAACACGAGGTCAGACAGGTCAGTAGAGATGAGGGTTGTGAAGGGTAATGGGGTTGGACTATATTACGTGGGTGATGGGGAGTCCCTCGGAATGAAGAGACTCCCTCAGAGCAGGGACTGTGTCTTCCTTCTTAAATTGGGGGCCTCTTCCCTCTTGACCTCCTCCTAAAGCCCAGGAGGAGGCTGAAGCCACAGGGGCTGCATGGGTACAGAAGAAACAAGCCCCGACTCCTTCCTGGGCCTGTAGGACACAGCTGTGTTCCACAGGCCGCTTGAGTATCCCTGGCCTTTGCCCAGCACTAACCCACCAAGCTGTACAAAAACATCATCTTCTGCTCTTCATAGATGTTCATGGGGTTCACCAGGAGCTGAAAGAGACCTAAGGGCACAAGGTCAAGCCAAAGGCCAAAAGATGGGTCCTAGCCCTGATCCAGCCTCTGCCCACCCCGACTTTCTGCTTCCACACTCACCTATGGCCAGGAGCCCCCCAGCGCCTGCCCCTAGCAGGAAAGCAGTGACAGGAAACTCGCCCGGCTGGCGCCACAGGAACCGGCTGCAGGAGACTGGCAGCCCCCAGCTCAGGAGCCTCTGCACCGCTGAGAGGGGCACAGGGTAGCTCAACAGCCCACTCTCCCACCCGGGATGGGCTCATGGGGACTCGGGGATTGCAGGTGGATAGAGGCTGGGGGAAGCTGGCAGGTGGCAGTAGGAACTTGTGGGACCCTGCAGGAGGATGAGGGAGGGGTGTAAGGGATAGAAGAGGAAAGGGCTGGGCTGGGGGGGCAGGGGGCACTAGACCTGAGAGGTGGGGGCTGGACACTGAGCTGGGACAGTGTACGGGATGCCAGGAGAGCTGGGATGAGAGTGGAGGCCGAGGGAGGCCGGGTCTCTGCTGAGTGACTCACTGGTATGAGGCTGTTTTCTTCTTCGTCCTCTTGCCCCATTCTCATGATGTGGAGTGTCCATGAGTCAGTTCTGGGGAAGCGCTGCTCATCCCAGAAGTCTCCTTAAGGATCTCCTTGGACGCAAGGTTCTGATGAGAGAAGAGGTGGCCGCCCGTCTCTTCTCCTCAGAGGAAGCCTAGGCCTGAGCTCTGGGCCTTGGAATCCTGCCGCTCTGCTCCGAGAAGTGGGGAAGGAGATGAGACACCTCCCTAACCCCACTCCAGTCCTCGGAACTGGGTCAGGGATTCCAAGACACATGCAGTGAAAGCCCTCGGAACCTTAGAATGTGGTGAGAAATTCCAGGAGCACAGAAGTCAGCGGGCTTCTCCTGGAGACAAGCAGACATTTGGCCTCAGCAACCATGCCCAAAGTCATGAAGGATATTGGGCACCCCTCGGCGGGAGAGGAGCCTAGCATGGCAAGAGCTGTGGTTCGCAGCGTTGGAGGCTTTACCCTGGGCTTGTCTTTGGCCACGGCCTACGGGCTTCTGGAGCTCCTGGTGGAAGGGCACAGCCCCTGGGGCTGCCTGGTGGGCACCCTCACTTTGGCTGCCTTCCTTAGCCTGGGCATGGGATTCTCTCGCCAGGTCCGAGCCACTGTCCTCCTGCTGCTGCCCCAGGCCTTCTCCAGTGAGCCTGGCACCCAGGGCTGGGGGGCAGGTCCCAGGGCTGGTGCTGGGGCAGGAGAGATGCTGGGGAAGTTAAGGGAAATATTCCAAAGGCTTATGTACGGGACTTGCTGCCATGTTTGGGGCCGGGGTCTTGGTTCTGACAGAGCTGTCGCCCCCAGGGCAGGGCCGGACACTGCTGTTCGTGGCTGCCTTTGGGTTGGTGCTTCAAGGGCCTTGTGCCAACACTCTCCGCAACTTCACCCGGGCCAGCGAGGCTGTAGCCTGTGGGGCAGAGCTGGCGCTGAACCAGACCGCCGAAGTGCTGCAGCGGGCCAAGCAGCCCCTTGTCAGTAAGTCCCCCACCCCCACCGCTGTCTCCCACCGGCCCCCCAGCCCCCTCATCCTGCATGTCCTGTAAGTCCTTTGGCCTCCTTCTCTGCTGGTGCTAACTGCAGAGCATCTGGGCCTGACAGGGACTCTGGGCACAGCTACACCCTCTCTCCTTGCTCTCTGGCCTCCTCCACTGCCAGATGAACTATCTCCCAGGCCCCAGAATCCAGGCTCCCCACCTCTTCGCTCCCTGCCTAAGGGGCAATGGTGAGAACCAGCCCCTAGAGGAGGAGACGCCACAGCGCCTCTGTCCCTTGCCCCTCAGGTGCCCTGAACAAGATTAAAGCTATTGCCCAGAAGGCCAAAGAAGTGGCTGACCGGGTCCGCAAGTTCTTTCGGTCAATCATGGATGGTGTGAAACATGTAGGTAAGCATATTAGCATGTCTAGTCCTGGGGACTCAAAGTGCACCCGGGTGCAGTGGATCACGCCTGTAATCCCAGCACTTTGGAAGGCCAAGGTGGGAGGATCGCTTGAGCCCAGGAACTTGAGACCAGTCTGGGCAACATGGCAAGACCCCATCTCTATAAAAAAATTTTTTTTTTTTTTTGGTCTTTTTGTTTTTTTCTTTTTGTGGAGAACGGGGTCTCGCTATATTGCCCAGGCAGGTCTCGAACTCCTGGGCTCAAGCTATCCTCCCGCCTCTGCCTCCCTAAGAGCTGGGATTACAGGCGTGAGCCACAGCGCCCAGCCCTCTATAAAAAATTTTAAAAAATAAATAATAAATAAAACTAGCCAGGTGTCAGGCCGGGCGTGGTGGTTCATGCCTGTAATCCCAGCACTCTGGAAGGCTGAGTTGGGTGGATCACCTGAGGTCAGGAGTTCAAAACCAGCCTGGCCGTCTTGGTGAAACCCCATCTTTTTTAAAACAAACAAACAAGCCGGGCGCGGTGGCTCAAGCCTGTAATCCCAGCACTTTGGGAGGCCGAGGCGGGTGGATCACGAGGTCGAGAGATCGAGACCATCCTGGTCAACATGGTGAAACCCCGTCTCTACTAAAAGTGCAAAAAATTAGCTGGGCATGGTGGCACGTGCCTGTAATCCCAGCTACTCAGGAGGCTGAGGCAGGAGAATTGTCTGAGCCCAGGAGGCGGAGGTTGCGGTGAGCCGAGATCACGCCATTGCACTCCAGCCTGGGTAACAAGGGCGAAACTCCGTCTCAAAACAAACAAACAAACAAACAAAAACTAGCCAGGTGTAATGGCGCATGTCTGTAGTTCCAGCTACTGAGGAGGCTGTGGTGGAAAGATCTCTTGAACCCAGGAGTTTGAGGCTGCAGTGAGCTGTGATCGTGCCACTGTACTCCAATCCAGCCTGGGTGAGAGAGTGAGACTCTATCTCTAAAGAAAAAAAAAAAGAGGCTGGTCACGGTGGTTCATGCCTATAATCCCAGCACTTTGGGAGGCTGAGGTAGGTGGATCACCTGAGGTCAGAAGTTCTAGACTAGCCTGGCCAACATGGTGAAACCCCATCTCTACTAAAAATACAAAAATTAGCTGGGTGTGGTTGCTCATGCCTGTAGTCCCAGCTACTTGGGAGGCTGAGGCAAGAGAATTTTTTGAACCCAGTAGGTGGAGGTTGCGGTGAGCCGAGATCATGCCATTGTACTCTAGCCTGGGCAACAAGAGCAGAACTCCATCTCAAAAAAAAAAAAAAAAAAAAAAAATTCAGTTTCCTCACCCGTATCCCTGTCCAGGCCTTTTCAGGCCCCTCCTGGGTGCTGGCTAGAGCTCACTGGATACAGCACAGCCAGCACAGGCCTCTCCAGCCCTGGGGTTGTGAGAAGAGGCTGTAGGATTCCAGCTCGGGGTGCCCACCTGCATCTGTCCCCAGCCAGGGCTCTCCGGAATGTGTGGCAGTGGCTCCTGCATATCGGGGATGTGTGCAACGCGGAGCTGGGCAACCCTTACCTGAAGTGTGCGCGGGTCTTTGATGATGCCAAGGACAGCTGCATGCGGGTCATACCACAAGCCTACCACCTGTGTTACGTGCTCATGCCCTTCAAACTGGCGCTCTGTGGACTTGCCAGCTGTGAGAAAGCCAGGGCCCACTATCGGGGAGGGGCTGATGAGGTGGGGTGGGGAGGGAATGTGGGGGTCATTTGGGAGGGCAGGCTCAGGAGGACCATTAGGAGGCAACAGAGAGGAACCCATAAGGATGATGGGACCAGTACTGGGGGTGGGGTGGGCAGTAGGGAGGGACAGGTGTTGGGAGAGAGGGGCCACAGGGAAATGCTACCAGGCTTTGGGCAAATGTGGAGGCCAATAGGAAATTAGAAATTCAAGAGGCCCTGTGAGACGAGGTCTTCAGAGGCGGGGGGCAGGTCCGGCTGTGCCCTTCCTCCGGACACTCATCGGACTCTGCCCATCAGTGGTCCAGGTGTTCTGTGTCATCCCCAAATACCTTCAACCCTTCTTGCGCCAGACCATCGGCACCCGTGAGTGACCCCTCCTCCCATGCATGGTGCTCCCTAGTGGTCTCCCTCCCTCATCCCAGTGTGGCCATGGCCAGCCCCCAGTGATCCCAGCCCATAAAGGAGAGTGTAAGAGAAAGAAAGGGGCTCAAAAGATTACCCAGGCCCATGTCCATGCTGTACAGATCAGGAAACTGAGGTCCAGTGAAGGGCCAGTGCCTCACCACGCCTGCCGCCAGAGCAGGAGCTGGGAACAGAACCAGGGGCTCCTGTCCACATTCAGGTCATCGAGATCTTTCCTTAGGGGCATCTGTTGCATGCCTGGTGTCATGCTGGGTGCTGAGCATGTGGTGGCAATGGCACAGATATGTGGAGGCTTTGTCCCCCTCCTCAGTCCACCTTGACCTAAGCACTGGGGGGTCCCAGCTGGTCTGTGCACTGTGTGTCCCTTGGGCCGTGCCGGGCCCCTCCCCAGTGCAGCTCCACCCTCTCGTAACTCTCCCTGCCCACGTCTCCCCTGAATCTGCTGGCCCCAGCTGTGATTCAGTTGCTCAACCGCGTGCGTCAGGAGTTCGAGTTCAACATTACAGCCACCCACCACTTCTCTGTGGATCTCAATGCCTCTCGGAGCCTGTCGCAGGTAGCCATGGACCTCCAGGAGGCTGTCAGCATGAAGCTGCACCGCATCCGAGAGGCCTTGGCTCTGATGGGCTTCACCACGCCTCTGCTCCTTGTGCTTCTCTACCTCCAGTGAGGGGCTGCCGGGCGGCGCCGGGGGCGGGGCAGGGCCAGGGCTGCAGGGAGCGCTCGTCCCCGGGCATCCAGGGAAGCTGACATTGCGGGGTTGGAGAGGGGACGCCCTGAGCGGTCCGGCCCGGGCAGCTAAAGGGCCTCACATGTGCTCCACCTCCGTTTCCCAGAGCCCTATTTTACCGGTACTGTTACCTGAACTGGGACCATTACGACAATATCTACATCACCAGCCGATTCCTGCGCATGGAGGCTGTGCGCTCCTCGGCTGGGCTGCCCACGGTGCTTCCGCTCAGTGCTCACGAGGCCAGGCGCTACATCCCGCCGGGTGAGGGCCCTGAGGACAGGGACAACCCGGCTCAGGGAGCCCAGGGCTTCCGCCCACCCTGCTGCCCTGCAGGGCCAGAGGGAGGAAACAGAACCCAGAGCTTAAGGAACTTTCCGGCTGCTGGGAGACACTGGCCAGTCCTTGGGGAGCCCGCAATCTGAAAGGGGAACGTGGACACCCTTGGAGAAAGTAGCCAGAGACAGGAGGGGCAGATGGTGCTTCTGGGAGCACCCTGGACGTCAGGACAGCAGGGGGTGGACACAGTGAGGGAAGTCGCTGCCAGGGGTGGGCAGGAAGTGTGAATGTGCTAATATGGAGGGGGAGGACTGTCCGTGAGGCAGGGAAGCGGGTACGGGGATGCGCGATGCCCTAGGAGCGAGGGCTCCGGAGACTGGAATGGGCCACCGGCCAGGTGGAGATGCCAGGCAGGCCCCTCTCCTCTAGCCGCGGAGCCCCCTGCCCTGAAGAGTGTTTCCTTTCCATATATCCAAGGAGCAGACAGGGCCGGGACTGATCAGGGGCAGGAGGCCTCTCTAAGAACTGGGGTCTAGTAGACGGGAGAACTGGGGAGCATCCTCCTGACCATCCCACTCCTGCCCAGGCTCCATCTTCCTGTCCCAGTGGGAGAAGTTCTTTTGCATTCTGGAGACCTTCAACCTTATCCGACACCTCCTCGTCGTGCTGTTCCTAGTCTTCCTAGACTATGCTGTCTTCTGGGTGCTTGACCTGGCCCGGCACCAGCTGCAGGGGGAGCTTGTGGCCCGCAGTGAGTGCCTGCATGACAGCCTCCTCCCACTCACCCTTGGCCTGCCCCTGCATCTCCTCATCCACTCCCAAGCCTTCTCCTCTTCCCATCCTCAGTCCCGGGGACTCCCTGAATGTCCCCATGTCACTGTTACTCAGTAGTCCCCAAGTGTGCCATTCTTAAACTCCATCCTCTGCCTATTAACACCCGTGTCTAGGTCAAGGTTATAACATGCAGAGTAGTTAAAAATGCAAGCTTAGGCCAGGCGTGGTGTCTCACGCCTGTAATCCCAGCACTTCGGGAGGCCGAGGCGGGCAAATCACGAAGTTAGGAGTTCGAGACCAGTCTGGCCAACACAGTGAAACCCCATCTCTACTGAAAATACAAAAACTAGCTGGATGTACTGGCGGGTGCCTGTAATCCCAGCTACTCAAGAGGCTGAGGCAGGAGAATCGCTTGAACCTGGGAGGCAGAGGTTGCGGTGAGCTGAGATTGCGCCACTGCACTCAAGCCAGGCAGCAGAGTGAGACTCTGTCTCAAAACACAAAACGAAACAAAATACACAAGTCCTAGAGTCAAACTGGCCGGGGTTCAAATCCCAACTATGTCCTTTATTAGGCGGTGACCTTCAGCAAGTTGCTTAACCTCTTCAGCTTCAGTTTCATCTTTTTTTTTTTTTTTTGAGTCAGAGTCTTACTCTGTCACCAGGCTGGAGTGCAACGGCTCGATCTTGGCTCACTGCAACCTCTGCCTCCCAGTTTCAAGTGATTATCCTGCCTCAGCCTCCCGAGTAGCTGGGACTACAGGCATGTGCCACCATGCCCAGCTTATTTTTCTATTTTTAGTAGAGATGGGGTTTCACCATGTTGGCCAGGATGGTCTCAATCTCTTGACCTCGTGATCTGCCTACCTAGGCCTCCCAAAGTGCTGGAAATACAGTTGTGAGCCACCACACCTGATCTCTCTTTTTTTTTTTTTTTTTTTTTGAGATGGAGTTTCCATCTGTTTCCCAGGCTGGAGTGCAGGGGTGCAATAATCTTGGCTCACTGCAACCTCCGCCTCCTGGGTTCAAGCAACTCTCCTGTCTCAGCCTCCCAAGTAGCTGGGACTATAGGTGCATGCTTCTACGTCCAGCTGTATTTTTAATCAACACAGGGTTTCACCATATTGGTCAGGTTGATCTCCAACTCCTGACTTCAGGTGATCTACCCACCTCACCCTCCCAAAGTGCTGGAATTACAGACATGTGCCACTGCACCGGCCCAGTTTTTTCATCTGAACAGTGGAATAATAATGGTAGCAACCTCTCTGGGTCACTGTAAGGAGTAAATGAGATTATGTGTGTTGGGGCCAGGTGTGGTGGCTCATGCCTGTAATCCCAGCACTTTGGGAGGACGAGTCAGGAGTTCGAGACCAGCCTGGCCAACGTGGTGAAACCCCTTCTCTACTAAAAATACAAAAAATTAGCTAGGGGTGGTGGTGGGCACCTGTAATCCCAGTTACTCAGGAGGCTGAAGCAGGAGAATCACTTGAACCTGGGAGGCAGAGGTTGCAGTGAGCTGAGATCATGTTACTGTACTCCAGCCTGGGCAACAAGAATAAAACTCTGTCTCAAAAAAAAAATAAAAAAAATAAAAAAATATGTGTGTTGGATGCCTAGTAAACCATTGATTGAGAATGTGAGCCAGGCGCAGTGGCTCGTGCCTGTAATCCCAGCACTTTGGGAGGCCGAGGCGGGTAGATCACCTGAGGTCAGGAGTTCAAGACCAGCATGGCCACCATGGTGAAAGCTTGTCCCTACTTAAAATACAAAAAAAAAAAGAGCCAGGCATGGTGGTGGGCACCTATAATTCCACCTACTCAGGAGGCTGAGGCTGGAGAATCGCTTGAACCCACGAGTTGGAGGCTGCAGTGAGCCGAGATTATCACTCCAGCCTGGGTGATAGAGTGATACCCTGTCTCAAAACAAAACAACAAAAAAAGAATAAGAAACTCCCCCAAAAAACAAAAAACAAAACCCCAAAACAAACAATAAAGCACTTGGTTCAGTGTCTGCTACACAGTCAGTGCTCAGCCAATAAATGTTTTCAGGGAGGCTGACTCAGTGGCTCATATCGGTAATCCTAGCACTTTGGGAGGCTAAGGCAGGCGGATTACTTGAGCTCAGGAATTTTAGACCAGCCTGGGCAACATGGCGAAACCCTGTCTCTCTCAAAAAAAAAAAAAAAAAAAAAAGTTAGCTGGTCGTGGTGGCACATGCCTGTAGTCCCAGCTACTTGGGAGGCTGAGGCAGGAGAATCACTTGAATCTGGGAGGTTGAGCCTGCAGTGAGCCAAGATCACAGCACTGCACTCCAGCCTGGGTGACAAAGTGAAACCCTGTCTCTAAAAATAAGTAATTTTAAAAAACAGTAATAATAAATGTTCTGGGTGGTCATGGAGGCCAGGGGCGTGGACTCACTGATACTTAAGGTCGTCTTAGTTCTGGTGGCTTGGATAGGAAGACCAGACACAGTGCCACCCAGCTGGACCATGCGGCCAGTCCCAGGAGCCAGGACTGAGGTCAGGCCCCAGGGCACCATGAGGGTGCCTGAGGCATCGGAGCCCCCAGCTGAGGGTCTGACTCATCCTATGACCTGCGCTGCTCCACTGTCCTCATTCCAGAAGGTGTGGGCTTTTCTGCATAGCAACTGCCACGAGTGTCACTCACACAGTGTCTTTGTGCCAGGTCCTGTGTTGGTGTCTATAACTGTGGAAGGGACTGGCTATGCTGGAAATATTTACCGTGACCTGGCGTCAGCATTTAATGTACTGCAGCAAGGCAACATCAGTATTTTGTCCCGGCGCTGTCTCCTTCGTCCCTCGGAGCCTGACAGCACTGGTTACACAGTCATTGGTATCAACCACACCCTGAGGGCCCTGGGGGCGTGGACACCATGCAGGAAATGAGGGCGCAGACTGCTGGGGGTGTGGGGGCGCCAGGAGTGGGCTGGCATCTTGTGCCTGCTGGCAAGGCTTACTGAGGCTGCTGTGCTCCCAGGTGTCATGTATGGCCTATGCTTCTTCGTCACCCTGTTTGGCAGCTATGTCAGCCGGCTGCGGCGAGTCATCTGTGCCTCCTACTACCCATCCCGGGAGCAGGTGAGGGGTCCAGGGCTGGGAGCTAGTCCCTGCCCCCTCCCCAGGGGGCTCAGCTAGTGGCTGTCAGCCTTGGCTTTGGGAACTGAATTCCGTCAGCAGCCCCAGCCCTCTTTCCTCTGGTTGAACTTCAAAGGAAATGACCTGAACTTCAAGCCTCTGAGCCCAAGCTGGGGCAGGGAGAAATGGCGCCTCTGGGGCAGGGCTTCCTAGACAGCATTTAGCTCCAAAGTCTTGTTAAAATCACTGGGATGGCAGTCAGGGAGGGGATGGGGACGGGGAGTTGGAGAGTGGAGCAGGCGCCATGGCTCACACCTGTAATCCCAGAACTTTGGAAGGCTGAGGCAGGAGGACTGCTTGAGGCAAGGAGTTCAAGACCATTTGGGCATCAAAGTGAGCCTCTGTCTCTATTTAAAAAAAGATGAAGAAGAAAGAAAAGGCCAGCCAGGTGCGGTGGCTCAAGCCTGTAATTCCAGCACTTTGGGAGGCCGAGGTGGGTGGATCACGAGGTCAAGAGATCGAGACCATCCTGGCCAACATGGTGAAACCCCGTCTCTACTAAATACACAAAAAATTAGCTGGGCATGGTGGCGCGTGCCTGTAATCCCAGCTACTCAGGAGGCTGAGGCAGGAGAATTGCCTGAGCCCAGGAGGCGGAGGTTGCAGTGAGCCGAGATCACGCCATTGCACTCCAGCCTGGGTAACAAGAGCGAAACTCCGTCTCAAAAAAAAAAAAAAAAAAAAAGAAAAAGAAAAAAGGAAAAAGAAAAAGCCAGGCATGGTGGTGTGTGCCTGTAGTCCCAGCTACTAGGGAGGATCGCTTGAGCCCAGGAGCTCTGGGCTGGAGTGAAATATGATTGCGCCACTGCACTCCAGCCTAGGCAATGGCATGAGACCCTGTCTTAAAAAAACAAAACAAAATAACATGGTGGGGAAGTGGGAGGCAGTGTTGGCATGTTGAAGTGTAATTAAAAACTCACCATCGGTTCACTCCTTTAGTAATCATTTACTGAGCATCTACTGTATGCTGGTCTCCAAAGATGCCAAGATGAAGCAGACACGGTCTGGAGCTCACAGTCTCAAGGCAGGCCAAACAAACTTTTAACAAGACATTATAATGTATTTATTTATTTATTTTGAGATGGAGTTTTTGCCCTTGTTGCCCGCTGGAGTGCAGTGGTGCAATCTCAGCTCACTGCAACCTCCACCTCCTGGGTTCAAGCGATTCTTCTGCCTCAGCCTCTCGAGTATCTGGGATTACAGGCACTTGCCACCACGCCTGGCTAATTTTTGGTATTTTTAGTAGAGACGGGTTTTCACCATGTTGGCCAGGATGGTCTTGAACTCCTGGCCTCAGGTGATCCACCCACCTTGGCCTCACAAAGTGCTGGGATTATAGGCGTGAGCCACGGCACCTGGCCGACTTTATAATTTATAAATTAAAAAGCACGTTTATTTAGGAATGAATAAAAGTGCTACAGAAACCCAGAGGAGAGAGTGGTAACTCCACCTGGGCAAGCCCAGAAGGCTTCCCAGAGGAAGGGGCATTTGAGCCAAACCTAGAGGGATTCATAGGAGTTGGATAGAAGGAAAAGGTAGGGAGTGGAGATGGGTGTAGAGGGCATTCCAGGCAGACAAAACATCGTCAAGTGGGATCCTGATCTCCCCGCACTAGGAGAGGATCTCCTACCTGTACAACATACTTCTGAGCCGCCGAACCAATCTATTGGCTGCCCTGCACCGATCAGTGAGGCGGCGGGCAGCTGACCAGGGCCACAGAAGTGCCCTCCTAGTGCTGGCCAGCCGGTGAGACCACTGTCTTTCCTATAGGGGTGGGGCAAGAGGGGACAGAAAAAGAGCCAGGGAGGCTGGGCGCGGTGGCTCAAGCCTGTAATCCCAGCACTTTGGGAGGCCGAGGCGGGTGGATCACGAGGTCAAGAGATCGAGACCATCCTGGTCAACATGGTGAAACCCCGTCTCTACTAAAAATACAAAAACTTAGCTGGGCATGGTGGCGCGTGCCTGTAATCCCAGCTACTCAGGAGACGGAGGCAGGAGAATTGCCCAAATCCAGGAGGTGGAGGTTGCGGTGAGCCAAGATCATGCCATTGCACTCCAGCCTGGGTAACAAGAGCGAAACTCCGTCTCAAAAAGAAAAAGAAAAAGAGCCAGGGGTCAGAAGGGATCTCTGTCCTCTCTAAGTGTCAAGAGATATGGCGGAAGAGAATGCCTGTCCCATGTCTTCACGCTGTGAGAGATGGGAATTTAGGGGCAAGGAGTGAAGGGAGGAAGGAACGCAGGGCCGTGGCTGCTGAAGTTAGAGGGATCGAGGATGGACTACAGGAAGTCAAGAAGTCCTCCTGCCATTTGGAGGTTGGCGCTGGAGTGAGGAGGCTTAACCTGGCGGGCCGGCCTGCTTGGTGTCTGTGACCCCTTTTCTCAGGTGTCCCTGGCTACATCCATTCGTCAGCCGCTTTTGGCTGCCCCAGGCCTACTGCCTGGGCTGTGGGAAGCCCCAGAGTGAGGGAGACATGGAGAACACTGTGTCCTGCAGTACCCCGGGCTGCCAAGGTGAGAGCCCCTGGGGCGTGTGCCTCTCCCTGCTCAGACTTACCCCACTGACATATGACAATCAACTGTGGTCCTTCCTTGGTGGATTTCTCTTATGCCTCACCTTTTGTGTCCCTCTCTTCATAACTGTGTGAGTTCTCATTTACATAGAGCCCTCAGGTAGCTCATTTTCTCCATGCTTGCCTTTATTCTTCCGGGTATTTATTTATTTCTTTTTTGAGACAGAGTCTCACTCTGCCACCCAGGCTGGAGTGCAGTGGTGCGATCTCGGCTCACTGCCAACCTTCGACTCCCGGGGGAGGGGAGTTCAAGCGATTCCCCTGCCTCAGCCTAGCCTCCTCCAGTAGCTGGGACTATAGGCACCCACCACTACGCCCAGCTAATTTTCGTAGTTTAGTAGAGACGGGGTTTCACCATGTTGGCCGGGATGGTCTCAGTCTCCTGACCTCATGATCCGCCTGCCTCAGCCTCCCGAAGTGCTGGGATTACCAGTGGGAGCCACCTCGCCTGGCCTCTCTCGGGTATTTATAAATGGGATTTATATGCAAACAGCACTGCAGCAGTTCCCTAGTGTGCACCGCTTGAGAAGGATGGTTCCTCTAGGGGAGGCAGGGGCTGGCAACCAGGAAGCACAGAGGGCGGGTGGGTGAGCTCGGGTTCACCTCCATTCCTCTGGCCTCCGTCAGGTCTCTACTGCCTCACCTGCTTCCGCCTCCTGGACAATACCTGCTCCCTGTGTGCCTCTCCCCTCGCCTACCAAGGGGACCTGGACTTGGAGCTGTGAGTCTTTCAGTGACATGGGGTGGCAGGAGTCTATGGGGGTAGTGGGAGTAGCCACCCTCTGCCAGGACATCCGTGGGCCACTGAGATGAGAGATTTCTCCAGGGACTCTAGCGATGAGGAGGGCCCTCAGCCATGGCTGGCTGCAGCTCAAAGGAAGGACCCTGAGCAGGTGTGGTTACTGCAGCGACAGCTCCAGGACGTGCTTGGCAGGAGCCTCTCAATGGAGTCCACTTCTGAGTCCAGGTGAGCAGGAAGCAGGAGTTGGCACCTGTGGTTTGTGAGGCCCAAGGATGTTCTGTTCCATTTACAAAGCCTTCCTGGGTGCCTGGACCTTGCCAGGGCTGGAGACGGACATGAGGGGAGGGGAAGTAACTGCAGGTTGCCAAGTGCCTGCTCTGTGTCAGCACCGTGGCCCTGGAGGAGCTCACCATGCCCTTGGAGACTGACATCAGATAGATAACAGGGTGGATAGCACCCTGATAAAGGAGTAAAGAATACTCTGGGCGGCACGGAGGAAGAACAACCAACTTGGGAAAAGGGGCGTATTAACGAAGGCCTCATAGAGAGGTGACAAATGAGCTGGATTTTTGTTTTGTTTTTTTGCGACAGGGTCTCACTCTGTCACCCAGGCTGGAATGCAGTGACGCAATCCCAGTTCACTGAAACCTTGACCTCCTGGGCTCAAGCAATCCTCCCACCTCAGTTTCCTGAGTGGCTGGGACGTCAGGCACACCACCACGCTTGGCTTATTATTATTATTATTATTATTTTGTAGATATGGGAGTCTCACTATGTTGCCCAGGCTGGTCTCAAACTCCCGAGCTCAAACCATCCTCTCGCCTTGACCTTCCAAAGTGCTGGGATTATGGGATTATAGGCGTGAGCATGGTGCCTGGCCAGGGGCTGGATTTTGGGGGCAACTTGGTGGTTTGTTAGGCTGAGAAGTAGAGAAAAGCATTTCAAGGGGAGGCCTGTGTGGGTTTGGAGAATGTGAGGCATTCAGAAGGGTAGAGCCCAAGGGATGGGTGTGTCTGGATGGAGACCTCGGAGAATGCTGGGAGATGAGGTTGGAAGTCAAGATGGGAAGAGATGGTCAAGACCTTTTCTTGTCATTTGAAGAGCTTAGGTTGGAAAGCGATGTGCTCATATTTGTGTGTGTGTGTTTTGTTTTTTTTTTAAATAAAGATGGGGTTTCAGCTGGGCGTGGTGGCTCACACCTGTAATGCAAACACTTTGGAGGCCAAGGTGGGTGGATCACCTGAGGTCGGGAGTTCAAGACCAGCCTGATCAACATGGTGAAACCCTGTCTTTAAAAAAAAAAAAAAAAAAAGAAGATGGGGTTTCACCATGATGGCCAGGCTGGTCTTGAACTCCCAACCTCAGGTGATCCGCCCACGTTGGCCTCCCAAAGTGCTAGGATTACAGGCGTGAGCCACTGTGCCTGGCTGCTCATATTTGTCTTTCAAGACCATAAGTGAAGAAGGCAGAGCGAGGTTGGGCAGGAGCAGGGAGTCAGAGAAGAGTTTGTCTTAGTTTAGGAGAAGTTCGTGATGCCCTCAGGATTGAGGTGCTGAGGGTGACTGGGATTTCTAGGCTTGGGACCGCACAGGTGTTAGGGCAGGAAGATAAACAGGTTCTGGGGAAAGACAACTGGCCCAGTTTGAGATCTTTGAGGTGTCTGTAGGGCATCAGCTGGAGATGCTCAGCAGGACAGTTAGACAAGGGCAGGGTTCCGGGCTGGAGGTGTATTTTGCAGGGCGGGTGTGAGTTAGAGACTGTAAGAGAGAGGATGAGCTAGATCATCCTGGCAGAGGACATGGCAGGAGAGACGGAGGGGACAGGGAGGTCAGAGGCTCAAGAAAGCAGGAGAGCCAAACATGAAATCAAGTAGGGGCTGGGCACAGTGGCTCACACCTGTAATCCCAGCACTTTGGGAAGCCAAGCCAGGAGGATCACTTAAGATCAGGAGTTCGAAACCAGCCTGGCCAGCATAGTGAAACCGTCTCTACTAAAAATACAGAAATTAGCCAGGCGTGGTGGCGTGCACCTGTGGTCCCAGCTACTCAGGAGGCTGAGGCAGAAGAATTGCTTGAACCTGGGAGGCAGAGGTTGTGGAGAGGTAAGATTGTGCCATTGCACTCTAGCCTGGGAGACAGAGCGAGGCTCCATCTCAAAAAATAATAATAATAAAGTAAGAACACAAAAATTAGCTGGGCATAGTAGCGTGTCTTTAGTTCCAGCTACTTAGGATGCTAAGGTGGGAGGGATCACTTGAGCCATGAAGGCTGAGACTGCAGTGAGCTAAGATTGTGCCACTGCACTCTAGCCTGGGCAATAGTACAAGACCTAGTCTCAAAAAATAAAAAGATTAAAAACAAATCAAGTAAGATCATGTGAAGACAGGCAACAGGCAGTAAGGAAAATCACTGGAGTGGCTTATGGGAATATTTGTCATGGCATCAGGAAGACTGAAACTGGTCTGCCACGATGGGTTGAGTGGTGACTGGTAAAAAGGACAGAAAGGTTAGGCACAGTGGCTCACACCTGTAATCCTAGTACTTTGGGAGGCTGAGGCAGGTGGATCACAAGGTCAGGAGTCTGAGACCAGCCTGGCCAACATGATGTTACCTCGTCTCTATTAAAAATACAAAAAATTAGGGCCAGGCACAGTGGCTCACCCCTGTAATCCCAGCACTTTGGGAGGCCAAGGCAGGTGGGTCACAAGGTCAGGAGTTCGAGACCAACCTGGCCAAGATGACCAAGCCCCGCCTCTAAAAAAAAATACAAAAAATTAGTTGGGTGTGGTGGTGGGCATGGTAATTTCGGCTACTTGGGAGGTTGAAGCAGGAGAATTGCTTGAACCTGGGAGGTGGAGGTTGTAATGAGCCAAGATCACGCCACTGCACTTCAACCTGGGTGACAGAGTGAGACTCAAATGGACTCAGAAATATGGTATGTGGCTCCTGCATCACTGTTGCCAGGAGTCTGATAATGCTTTTAATCTAATAAGTGCTGTAGTTTGAAAAAAATGTAAGCTTGATGGTTAAGAGAAAGATAGTTAGCTTTACAGAGCAAGAGAGTAGCTTGAAGGGGATTCAGCACTGAAAGGGTTGCCTAGGTACAAGGACAGGGAGATTTGAGCATGTAGGCAGCGTAAAAGAGCGTTGGGGAGGGAGGTTTGGCTCTAGGGCCAGGTGGACCAGGTGGCCTGCCTTAGAAAGGAGAGGCTGGCAGAGGCAGGGGCGGAGAGTAGAGGTTCCCCTGAGCAGCTGAGCCCGCTCCAGACTGATGGCCTCGCTTCTCTCTGGGGAGTAGGAGGCAAGAGCACCTGCTGAGCGAGCAGAGGGGGCGGCTGGGAGTGGAATAAAGGTTTCAAGGAGTGGGTGGTAGAGGTTGAAAGACCTGCTGCGGGAAACGTGCAAAGAAGCCGACTGGGGAGGTTAAGGGATTTCCAGGTAGTGTCAAAGGCCCAGATGATGCTGGAAGCGTTAACCTGTAATGACTGCTCCAGTGTGCTTGGTTATGTGATTTTTGTCTGGCAAATGTGGTAGCCATGAATAGGATTCATGGGTGGAGGGCTTTTTCTGGGCAGGTCAGGAGGACAAGGTGGAGTGAGCATCAAGGTGTCTTTGGTAAGAGTGTCTGAGACAACTGGGGAAAAGGAGGGGCTGAGGCTCTGTCTTGATGAAGTGTTAGAGCAGGGGCAGTGGCCAGGAGGGAGAGCTGGCTGAACAGGAGGGGCTCAGAGACAGGGTCACGGCCAGGGAAGAACTCTGGAATAAATCCAGTGAGGGGCCAAGGCTGAGAAGGACGTCTGAGTCGGAACAGAGATGATGGTCAATAGGACCAAGCAGGTTAGGGATTTCGAAGCCAGAAAACTGGATGGGTCCTTTTAACGAGGAGGTTGCAGGACCATACAAACAGCAGGGGTCCGGAGCCAGCATCTTAAACGTGGCAGGTGTCTGGCAGGCCTGAGGAGACAGCCACAGCACTGGTGGTACAGCTGTCGTGGCAGCCAGGGCTTCGCAAAAAACCGTACAGGCCAGCTGGGTTTGAGGTTCAGCTGCCTCCACTTGGGAGGACTGCAAAGAAAACTGTCCAGTGGGCACATTCCAGTGTGAATGGGGTGGTGGAGGTCGTGATGAGTCGGGAGGTTAAAGGGGAAGCAAAGCTTTCTTTTCAGAGGTTCCAGAGGGCCCAGTGAAGGGCTAAGCTGGGTCAGCAGAGGGGGTGATTTGAGCCTTGAGCAGATGTGACCACTGAGGTCGCTAGTGATTCTGCCCTTCCTGGCCACGTGGCCTCAGGCAACTCACCGCCCCCACTCAGCCTCAGCCTAAAATCAGAAAATATCTACAGCCATGGGCTGGTACGCCTCATGGGCCTGGGAGAGCAGGAGGTGCTTGGAAAGAACAGGAGCTGGATCTGAACAGATGGGGCAGGGCAGGGGGCAGGGATGCACCTGTGAAGACAGAAGGTGGGTGATCCGGCCACCCCCTTCCTCTCCTTACTAGTGACCTGGATGAGGAGAAGGGGCCTCAGCAGGGGAAGCACAGGCAGCAGCCCTTACCTGAAGCCCATCAGCCTGTCAGCATTCCCACCAGCCCTGAGCCCTACAGACCACCTGAGACATCCTCCGCCCCCAATGCAGCCCCCACTGCAGCTTCAGAACCCTCGGTCCCTCTCTCACCTCCCTCTCTTCCAGATCTTTCCCACCCACCCCCCAAATAAACCAATAAGACACAAGTGTGAATCTTAAATTATTATTATTTCTTCCTGTCGCTTACACCCGAGGTGGGGGGGGTTGGGGTGGGGGGAAGGAAATAGGAGGGGGGGGAGTGCCTCTCCCCCTAAGGCACTGACTGGGAAAGCCGCAAGTAGGGAGAAGGGAGGCCACATTGTCCCCACTCTCTGGAGCTGGGCCCCAGGTCTCCCCAGCCCTGGGCTCCCCCCATCACCTGAAATGCTAAGATGAGGCCCAGGACAACCCGATCTCCCCACCACCCCAATATATTACATCATCACTTTTTAAATAGATACAGGGACTGGTCCCGCTACCCCCTCCCTGTGACCCTTCCCCACTTTAGGGGTACCTGGGCAGCTGTGCAAATGGGCAAAGGGGTGCATGGAAGAGAGGAAGAGCACCGGGCCCCTGAACCTGCCCCTTTTAAGGAGGGGGAGGGGCCGTCAGGCCAGGAAGGGGAAATAGTGCAAGGCAGAGCCCAGGCTGCAAAAGGGGTCCAGCACCCAGCGAGGAAGGGGGGGTGTCCCCTACCCCCAGCAGATTTGGGTAGTTAAAAAATCTGAAACTAGATTTCAACAAGACCAACAGAAGAGGCTATGTACAGAACGGGGGTGGATTCAATCCTAAGAGAAGAGTGAGGAGATTATTCTCCCCCGCCCGACAGGAAGCCCGGCTGGCAAGGATCTGGGAAGGGGATCACTTTCCCACAGGTCCGCAGCCCCTTTCCCTGCGGCCCAGCGAGAAGCTCCGTGCCCACTGCCTTGGCAAGGGGGCGCCGCTCACCAGCTGGGGTGGGTGAGGAGCGTGAAGACAGCTCGCTCCGGTGGCCGCGGGGGGCGCTCGCCCGCCCAGGGCATGGCCGCCAGATGGCGCCGGCTCGCCCGCTCTCCGCAAGGCTCCTCCAACCCCTCACCCTGTCCCACACCCCTCGCTGCGCCAGCCCGGGGGCGGCGTGAGTCAGGGGCGGCAGCGGTGGCGGCGGCTCCGGCTCGCACCTGGGCGGGGAGGAGGTGGGGAGGAGAAGAGGGTAGGACGCCGCCCGGCCCGCCCTGCCCTCTGGCCCCGGGGAGGGAGCGGCGGGAACAAGACATTCCCTGCCCAGGGCCGCGGGGAGGGAGGGACAGGGAGGGGAGTGGAACCGAGCGGCTCCCCTAGCTGGGCGGGTGGGCGGGGCCCCCTCCACTGCCCCCAGGGGCGGGCGAGCCAATCAGGCCACCCCGCCCCCTTCTTCTCCAGGACCCCATGACTCAGCGCCGGGAGCAGGGCGGAGGGGGACTGGGATGGCTCCTTCCTTACAGGCCCAGTCCCCCAGTCTTTCAAGCTTCCACCTGGCTTTCCCCCACCTACCCTTCCTTTGCCGCCCCCTTTTGCATAATTCACTGCCAGGAAAAAGGAACAGAAACTAGGAAGGAGGGGTCTTGGAAGGGAGGGGCAGTCCTTCACCCCCTTACACAGCCAAAACCCCCGAGGGGCATGGGGCGGGGCAACGCTTTGGTCCCAAGCCCCCACCCCCTAGAAACCCGCATAGCCGAAGTGGGACCCACAAATCAGAAATACATTATTGCTTCTACTCCCCAGGAGCAGCTGGGGACAGGGACCCCACTTTTACAATAGAGCTGTAAATATATACACAATATATGTATCACTCCTTGGGGGATCACCCCAATTTGGGGAGCCTCTGCCCCAATACCTTCTCAGCTTGGAATTGGAATGAGGGTTCTGGCTGATGCTGATGCCAGCAAGGCTCCGTGCCCCAGACCCCTTGCTCTGTCTGTCCTGCGCGTGCTCCCCACTGCTTGGCATGGGTGTCCCCGGCCTTGTGCTGCTTCAGCCTGGCCACTTGTCCCTCTTTAAGAGGACTCCATAGCACCTTCAGCCTGGGGTGTGGTGGGTGTCCCCTCCTCCTCATCGTCATCAGGGGGCCCCGGCGTGGAGACTGGGGGCCCAGTGGGGGCTGACTGCTCCCAGAATCGAGCTAGAGAGAGGCGGAAGGTGTCCAGGTGGCCGTTGGAGAGGTCGAGGCCTGCAGGGGACGCAGCGGCGGTAGAGGGTGGTGGGTAGTGGGGTGGTGCATCGTCCTTGCGGCGCCGTCGAGTGCGCACCTCCAGGCAGTTCTGGCCCTTGAGGTGGCGCTGCAGGTGGTCCTCCTTGGCGAAAGCCTTGTGGCACAGGTGGCACTCATAGGGCCGGTCCCCCGTGTGCAGGTGCATGTGGTTCTTGAGGTCGTAGCTGTGCAGGAAGCGGGCTGGGCAGTGCGGGCAGGAGTAGGGGCGCTCTCCCGTGTGCTTCCGCATGTGGATCTTCAGCTTGTCGTTCCTGGCACAGGCAGGAGTGAGGGGCAAGGAGGTGTTCAGAGTGGGATCCCTGGCTCCTCCTGGTCATACCACCCCAGGCTTATCTCCCATCCCTGTCCCTCACTATTGCCCCAGGACACCCCGCTGGCCTCTAGCTTAACAGGGCCTTGCCAGTATCCACTCATCTGCTTCCCGCAGTGCCCTCCTGGGCACCAAATCCTCCATGCTCTAGACACCTCCCCACCCATGGCCCTTGGCTTGCTTTCTCCTGCTCTCCTCACTCCAGTCGCCCACTCATGCCCCAGCCTCTCCAGGACCCCCTACCTCCTCCACCTTGGGTCTCCCACCCTGTCCCCGACCCATGGCCCCTACCGGGCCCTTCCCCACTTGCGGCTCACCGGGTGAATCGAACGCCGCAGACCTCGCAGGCAAAGGGCTTCTCGCCTGTGTGGGTCCTCATGTGTCGAGGCAGTTTCCCGGCCCCATGGATGATCTTGTGGCAGACAGGGCACTCCTGTGGCATCTGGGAGCGGCGTTTGCGTACCAGCTTGTCTTGGCCGTCCAGGCCTGGTGCCAGGTTGTCCTGATGCAGGGAGCTTAGGTAGGCCATCAGGTCAGGATCGATGGCATCCTCATCTGAGCCCAGCTCCTCTGGGGACAGCGGGGGCCCGCCCCCCTGCGCCAGCCCATAGGCCGGGGGATATACCAGCTCCTCTTCCTCTTCCTCACCCTCATAGGCCTCGTAGCTCTGGGAGCCCTCAGGAGGGGAGGCGGTTCCTGTGGGAGGGCTGTAACTGTCCCCCAGCCCACTGCCCCCACTGCTGCCCACTCTGCCCGCCACCTCCTCCTCCTCATAGGTCAAGGGATGGGCGGGCCCTGCGGGCACCTCGGGAACTAGGTGGTTTGCTCTGGCCCCCTTGGTTTGCAGGAAAGCTTTCCGGGGCTTGCGGCTGCGGCGGGCAACAGGCCGAGGTGGCGGTGGTGGCGGCGGTGGGAGGGGCACCTGTGGAGGGCTGTCTTCACCATTGGGAACTCCAGAGGCCGTGGCTGTGGCAAAGGCCTCCAGATACTGGCGGGCTCTCTCACAGTCATCCTCGTCCGGGCTGGGAGCTTCCAGCCCACTAACCTGCAGAATCTCCATGCAAGCAGCGATGACACACGGGATCTCCAGCAGCCGGGCAGCCTGGAGCACAGCAGGCATGTTGGCGCTGCTGGTGGTCAGAGTGGCTGTATAGGCAAATTCAAGGAGGGCGCCTAGTGCCTCTGGCCCTACAAAGTCCAGCTCACACACGCCGGCCCCTGCTCCCCCAGCAGCGGTCCCAGCCGCCCCCGGCTCCCATGACGGCTCCGCCGCCACCCTCAGTGAACAGCTTCTTGAAGTAGTGGCTACAGGCAGCTAACACAGCCCTGTGGGTGCGGTATTCAAGGCCCTGGGTCCGGATGGTGAGGTCACATAGGTGGCCCAGCTGGCGCTGCTCATTGAGGCAGCTCAGGAGCTCACTGCTGTGGTCCGGGAATGGAATCCCAATCAGGTCATCTTCGGGGCTCCCCATCTTCTCCTGCAGAGTCAAGTAGAGGTGAGATTAAGAGTGCTCAGCCCATAGGGGTCTGGGGAAAGAAGAGCAAGTTTAGCCAATACTTATTGAGGGATGACTGTGCCAATCACTCTTCTGAGTACTTTACACCCATTTCATCTTCTTTTTTTTTTTTTCTTTTTTTTTTTTTGAGACGGAGTTTCGCTCTTGTTACCCAGGCTGGAGTGCAATGGCACAGTCTCGGCTCACCGCAACCGCCGCCTCCTGGGTTCAGGCAATTCTCCTGCCTCAGCCTCCTGAGTAGCTGGGATTACAGGCACACGCCACCATGCCCAGCTAATTTTTGTATTTTTAGTAGAGACGGGGTTTCACCATGTTGACCAGGATGGTCTTGATCTCTTGACCTTGTGATCCACCCGCCTCGGCCTCCCAAAGTGCTGGGATTACAGTCGTGAGCCACCGCGCCCGGCCTCATTTCATCTTCTAAAACCCTCTGCAGTATGATCATCATCTGTTTCACAGACAAGGAAGCTGAGGTTCAGACAGGTGAGAAGACTTTCCAAGTTAAGCGCAGAACAGGGCCCAGTCCCTGTTCCTAACCACTATAATGTTCTATTCTGCCTCTGTGGCAGTGGGAGCCCTGCCTTTCTGCCCTTTCATAGCGATCCATCTGCATCACCTGCCCCATTCCCCATCTCTTTGGAAGGAGCGGTGGACTGGGAGATAGGATGCCTGGGTCCTGGCTCAGGCTCAGGCTTCATGAAGAACTGGCTGAGGGACTGGGGGTGGTACCGGCAGCTGGCCTCAGTCATTTGAAAAGTGAGGTAACAGTCTTTGCAATGGAACCTCCTCATAGCCTGGGAGAGGCCAGTGAGAGAGTTCCGACTCACACTGGACCAAGATCTGCTGGAGGCCAGGCACAGCCAGGTGCTCTAACTCAAGCTATCTCTCTCCAAAGCAGTTGGGACACTGTAAAACATATGCAAACAAGAGAAGGCAGCTCCCAAGCATCATCCTCTTCCTCCTTGTGCCCTTCCCCTGCCTATCAAAAGTTCATCTCCCCTTCTAGATCCCCCGCTTCTGGAGGCCAAACGGGAAACACAGCTCCCAGCATCCCTCCCCCCCACATCCTCCCCTCCCCCCTGGGGCCAAGGAGCAGCCACCCTTTGCTGG